GGACACGCTCTCGTTTGCTGTCACTCCTGTGAACTGAGAGTCGGCGCTGGGCGCGGGCGGGGGCGCTGAGGCTGCGGGCGCGGCCCCGGGGAGGCGGCCATTCCCCGGAGGCGAGGCGGACGTTGGCGTCTTCCCGTCATTGTAACTCGCTAGGAACCAGATTGTGGGGAACGCCCGCCTCGACGTGAGGTGGAACCGAAACCCACCGCTCTGCCGGGACACCCCGGGGCTGTGGCCCTGCCTCGGGCTCAGCGGCGGAGCAGAAGGTCCGTAGGAAACGCTTCCGGAGGCGGCGGCGACGCGGGCGGAGGGAAGGCTCCGCGCGGGAGAAACGCCGCGGGACACAGCAGACGCCGGGACGCTCGGCACAGGTAGTTTAATCAGGTGACACACAGAGTGACGTACAAACAGCGTTTTACCAGGATAATTACCGTCTGCACCACGGGACAAGTTTAGACAATGGGCTGAGGCCGTCCTCCGGCGGCGGGCTCGCTGGACACTCAGAGTCGGACACGCGGCGGCGGCCGGCGCTGTCTTGTCATCTCATCGCCTGGAACCCGCATGTGGGTCCCAGCAGGAGCCGGGGCGCTGACAGCTGAACCCTGTCCTCTCAAAGCCACAGCGAACTAACTACGGATGGATACGGTGGTGTTTTAGATGCAAAAGCTCATTTCTCCTAGTAACTGGAAATACAGCTTAGGACCGTGTTGGGGGCCAGACCTGTGGTTGTCTGGAAGAACGCTTCCGTGAAAAACTTGCATTAACCCATTAGAGACTAGGATTTTAGAGATGAATCCTGGTGGAGTTTTTAGGGAAATATCCAGCTCTACGTACGAAAGCAAGAATATGTCAGGCTGTTTTTTTAATGGGTGTATATTGACTGGCCTAAGCACAGGCAATCTCCTTTTCAGACCTGTGTTTACAAAAACTGTACATTACAAACAGTATAGAAACAAGCGGAAAAGATTGTGCCACACACCCTGGACAGCTATCTATATGCAGTTAAACTTACAGATATAAAAGGAAATACAGGCTACTCCCTTACAGTGCACAGTTGTTTTTAGATACGGTGTATCGCTAGTGACCCGCGGTCATCTTAACTCTAGTTGTCCCCGGCAGAGAGGATGAGGGCGAGGTCTGTCCGGTACAGCTTCCCGCCGTCCGACAAGGCCATAATGCTCTTCTTGTAGTTGGAGATGTTGTTGATGTCCAGATCCTGCACAGAACACAGAGGCATGTGCTGCAGTTACATGTGGAAGAGAGGTAGCCATGGCCAAGTGAGAGAAGGCGGCATAGAAACCACTCCTTACGTGGAGCCGTTGAGAGGAGTTGGGTTACATTCGTACACAAATGTGGGTAATCACAAGGTGGTTTTATTTATTTTTATTTTTTTATTATTTTTTTATTTTTTAATTCTCACCCAAGGATATTTTTTCCATTGCTTTCCAGAGAGTAGAAGGGGGTAGAGGGACAGAGAGAGAGAAACATCAATGTGAGAGACACCCATTGATTGGTTGCCTCTCACACGAGCCCTGACCAGGGCCAGGGATGGAGCCTGCAGCTGAGGTACGTGCCCTTCAGTCCATAGGCTGGTGCTCTAACCACTGAGCAAAACAGGCAAGATCCCAAGGTTGTTTTAAAATCTATAGATTCCAGTTACCAAATCAGGTTAAGAATTGCGATCTACTTCTGCCTCTCTGTAAATGCTTGGAGTTCCAAAAGTAGTGTATGGTTGCTTCAGGGTGGGTCCATAAAGTCTGCCTAAGAAGAGAGAGCACAGTAACTAATTACCTGTTTGTTCTTCTCGCACAGGTCCTTCAGTAAAGCGTCGAGTTCGTGTTCATCTATGTATCCATTGCCATCCTGAGGGAGGAGAAATAGAACAGGTACTTATCACCATCGCAGTGAGGGGCGACGCAAACAACGGAAATGCTCAGAAAATCCCCTCCCGCATCCCAGGCAGAATTCTCACCCTTGTCAGACCCCCAACATTTCTGACTGCCCCAAAGTTCCAGGATAGATCTGAATTGCCTCTCATTCAACACTTCGCGTTTGTAACATACTCTGAACTTTTCAAAGAAATTCACATTTAACACTTCGCTTCGTGCTCACTTCACCTCCTGTGACGGTGCGTGGCCACCAGCATGTTCATATGAGTGAGGACCTGGAGGCCTGGGGAAGCTATGTGACTGGCCTGGTGTCATGCCCATTTGGTCCAGGGGAGAGACTTTAGAGCAAATAAAGGACGTTAGCTAGTGACTTTGCAAACAGCCTTTACACACACACAATGGTGCCTTCCACTGGGGGAGGGGAAGGGGTAGCCTCCTGGATATTTTCATGCAGATTAAGCCTCCTCCCACCTGCAGAGCAGGGGTTACTGTCTCTTGTTTACAAGTGAGGAAGCTGAGACCCAGAGGAGACTGGTACCTTGTTCAGATCCTCACAGCAGGTAAGTCATAGCATGGGATCTGCATCAAGATTTGCCTAATGTGGGACAGACCACAATACATTTCTTAGGCTGAGCATGAGCCAGCTGGGTGATTTTAATACTGTTGTTGCTTTAATAGGAGCCTTGAGTTTGAGGGTTTTCCCCTCATTCAGCACTTTCCAAATTCTAAAAACTGTAGACAAGAACAAACTTGTACCTGGTCATATAACTCGAAAGCTTTATTGAACTCTTTCGCGCACATTTTGACTCCCTGGAGGACAGGAGGGAGCAAAGGTTAAAATGCTGCTATTAGGTTGTATCCCGTTTCTCTCAGCGACACTCCCACATGCCAGCTGTTCAAGGACAATACCATTTATGGTAGAGAAAAAGAGAAATACCTGGAACTTGAGAAGAAAATTCTCATGCACAGGTAGTAACCTTTTGAGAGAAAAACATTATGTTAATAGGTTAGATTTTTTTACAAGGATCAGTTTAGGATGATAATATCTGCACAGTCCCTAAGCTCACCTGGCCATTTCAGTTAATTCCAGCTTCCCATCATTATTTGAATCAAATAATTTCAGCTGAAAGACAGAATGTCGTTATTTTAGCCGTTGAAGAATGGTTTATTGCATGAAGGAGAAGAAAATTCAAAATAAAGCAGTTTGAGTTACCAGTTACTTATAGAGACAACAAAGTTGTAGAAAGCAGCATTTGTTAAACTTTCAGTGCAAGTTTTCAATTCTGTAACTTGTGTAATTGCCAAAGTTTCTCAGATCAATCTGGAATAGTCACCCAGTAATAGTGGTCTTCAGTAGGGTTCCAGGATACAGTCATTTATTTTTCTTGCAAATATGTGTGTATACATGTCTCAAGATGTGGGGAGAGGCTGTCTGACATGTAGCACATCCTGACTGCATACAGTGGTGTGAAGAGAGATACTTTTTCAGACCTAATGGGTTACACACAGAAGCAATAGTTAGATACTCTGAATAAATTCTTGGAGAATAGAAGCTTTGACTAATTTGGAATCATTTTAGTTTCCTTTGGACGCTGGATACTCTGTAGAGCTCCCAGCCTGGGCATAGCACGTACACACACACCACATTGGACGCACCTGGAGGCAGGTAGAAATACTGCTGTGCTATCTCAGATAGAAGAATTATGCATGAAGTGTATCAAACATGTACACTAAATATGTGGAAAAGCGCATTATTTTTGTTCATAAAGGAAAGTGACCAGGGTCAGAATGGGGCCCCTGTGGGGGCAGAAGGAAGGGTGTGCTGTGGTGGGAGGCAGGTTGTTCAGGGTCTGATGCTGACACATTTTAGAATTCATTGACCATCAGTGCTAATATTATCACACTAATATCAGGACCAAGGCCCTGGACACCAGATCACACAGTTTAGTCCCCACAGGGAAATATTTTCTTACAAATATATTTAAATTTTAATTAGTTCTTGATTAATTTGCTTCCCAGGTTTGAACTGGTTTATGACATTTAATCAGATATGTCTGTCCAACGGGAAAACTCCCATCTGAGTGGGTTTAAAAGGCTGCTTCAGATCTCCACCTGGACAGGAGTCTTACTTTAAATAGATATCCCTTAAGATCAGCACAAACAGAGAATTGATAAATGTAGGTTATGGTCCTTTCCCAAAAGTCACTCAGCCCCTCAGTCGGCCCTCTTGACACAGATATGCTGATGCTACGACAAGTGCAAAGCAATGAGGATGCTTCCTTACTGTGACAATTGTATTGGTTGTTTTAAAACTAGAAATGAGTCCCACTTTATAATAAACATCACTGTATAGTGAACAAGGCAACAGTTAAGTTCTAGAGGGTTTTTCCTCTCACATAAAAGTAGACTCACAGGCTGAAAGTCAGCCTCAGTTACATCAAATATAATCAGATCCTTTATAAGATGATTTCTCAGGGTAGCTAAAAAGTCTTAATTTTTTAATCCATTTAATGTAACAGTTATAATATGTGCTTATGTTTCATGGGTTATTTACTTAAATCCATAAGGTAAGAACTCACTGCAACTTCACAGTTAAAGCGTGGACATGCAAACAGGAGCAGATCTGAATAATAAAACTCTGAATTTCAAAGAGGAAACAAAACAGTGTTGCCAAGATACTTTGGCCCATGGCTGAATCAGGTTAGGAAAAGTACTCAGTCCTACCACTGTAATAAGTCAAAATGAGCAAACTTTATACACTTGAAACTAATTAACTTCATAGGCTGGGATGGTTTTATCTGGGGCTTCATAAATCTATTTGACGTTCATTCCTGAAACATTAAGTGCCTGTGTGCAAAGCAGTTTTCTTGGCTCCACTTTCAACATTCTACAGTCGATCTCACTTATATTATTCATCATAACATCAGAATAAAGGTATACTTGGATTTCCTCACCCAAAACACCAAGGTAGTATCCCAAAATACCAAAACCAAAAGAAAAGGACAGAAATACCCATGTCAGTCTCTCAGCAAGTAAGGCTGCTTTAAGTGCTGTTTAAACTCCAACAAAATCTGTGCCTTCCTAAGACGTGATGAAGCCTGATTCAGAACTTCTGTAATAAATGAGTTTACACATATATATATATATATAAAACATATATCTATAATGTCACTTGCATGTGTATAAGTTATAGAACTTAGTGATGTAATTACACTGCCTTCTAAGAAGAACAGGTGATCTTTTTAGAGAGGAAATTGCCAACTGCACAAGAAGGGACATGCTCCTCTGTTTAGCCTGACAAGGTGTCAGCATCCTCATGTACTTAGCTTTTCAACTGAAATGATACCTATGGGATGTGATGCCCACACTGTGGTTATTTATTTCACCCCCTGCAGCCTTGGGAATGAGCAGGCCATTGGCTGCAGTCTTCTTGGGATCATCTTACCATTAGATCTGTATACTCGGCCAGCTTTGTATCATCAACAGTCTTGTTTGCTTTTTCCAGCAGGTCCTTCAGAAAGTTCTGTAAAACAGAGAACAAGCAGGTAAATTCCACCAGTAACATTCAGTGTGCCGCCATTCCACACGCCATGAAACGTCACATCCGTGAGTGCAAAGTCTCCTTTTTGGGAGCTTAGGGAGGAGATGGGACCACGTGGTCCTCCTGGCTGTCCAGCAGAGATGCTGCCCTGATAGGTACGTGTCTGTCTTTCCCTGAGCTGCTCTGTCCTGGTCTGTGTGACACTCGCTTTTATGTTTCAGTGAAAGGAACATCTGCATTGTGCACATGTAGGAATCTGAGCAAAACCTTGTGAACCAGCCAGCTCAGTGGACGAGTTTCAGATCAGGATACCCTCACCAGTGCTCACGTCCCTCCGCAGGGACACAATCCCCTCTATACCTTATACCTCATGTGAGACTATCTGAACCCTAATTTCAAGTGCACATTTACAGCCGGCATGAAGCTCCTTTCCCCAGAGGTCAGGGCGGGCCGTCAGCTTCAGGACCCAGCCACAGCACCCAGGTGTGGCTTCCTAACACAGGTGGGCATGGTGACGTCGTCTCATCTCTGGGCGATAGGCTATCACGTTAACAGAGGGATGAGTACGGGGGTGAAAGGGATGACTGTTAATTTCAGGTGGAGGCTGAGAGTGTGAATTTTTTAACAGAGACATGAAAGTTTTACAGAGCTTGACACAGCAATGCCAGTGTAAATACGTGAACAAATACGTCTTTCATTTTCGCCTCCTGCCGCCCAGTCTCAAGTCCTTATCGTCTCAGGAAGTAGGTAATGCTGCTGTGGAAAACGGGCAGATCTGTGCACGGGCTTTACAGGCGGGTGGGGTGTCTGGTTCCATGAGGGTTCGTCCCTCCCAGTGTACTGGCTCGTGGAGCTGATGTAACTTCATTCTTTTCACAGGAGGAGACTTTTGCGGGGGGGTCAGTAGATTTATTTTCACTTTCAACGTACCCCTTCAGATCCACAGTGAAGCATGGAAAATTCAGAGTTATCTGTTAGGGGTGAATTTATCTCTTGAGTCTTAGGAGGCTTTTGTCAGAGATTAATTGGGTTAAAAATCCTCACCGGAGACAAAAGTGGTGGTCACAAAAATAGCCCAGGAGAAACCTCGGGACTGAGGCTCACAGCCGTGTCTGAGGGCAAGCGACGTTTTACTCTATTAGAGATCTTAAAATTAGCTCTGCTGAAAGAGCCATTAAAAAAGAATGCCAACTTATCTTCGGAACCCCCAGAGAGGAAGATTCTATTTAGCATCTCTCTCTGAGAAGAAAATTTAGAACAAAGGAGATCTTTGGAATATTTTGAGGTCAGTGTTGGAAATGAGCTAAGCTTTTCCTTATGAATCTGAAGTAATTATCAAAAGAATGTTTTCTGTTCGATGGGATAAAAACACAACGTAGCTGTCACCTTATGGGCTCTACACTGCTGAAGGCACGTTTGTCAGAGATCTTGTTTCTGGTGGTTTCACTTTAAAAATGTTTACATTTCCACGAGGTGATACATCGTTGGTTGTGTCTTAGCAGTTTTGCAGTGGTCCAAGTCCCATCTCTAAGACTGTGGGTGACTTGCATGGTGTCCGACTTGACGGGAAGAGCGTTCACATTTGTGTTTCCCTGCAGCTGCAGGGAGGCATCTCTCCGCGGAGGCCTGGCTGCCTGGGGCGGTGGGAGTGTTGCCACATTGTTGCACATTCAGTCTGGGCCACATCTGGTTCTTTCCCCAGGCAGCTGTGTGATCTTGAAAAGTATCCAGTATCCCTGAGCCTCAGTTTCCCTGTCTAGAATGGGCACAGTAACACCTGCCTGGCCAATCTTCTGTGAGGATTAAATGTGAAAACACAGTTCAGGCACCTCATACTGTGCCTGCCACATAGTAGGTGCTCAGTAAATATAGATATGAATGTGCTTGAGTCACCGTATTCTGAGGATCGCGAAAACAGGGTCTCCTGGTCAGAGGAGTCTTGAGGTCGACATAAGGAAATGAAAGGTGCTTCCATATTTCTGAAAGGCTAGTGAATTATTGAGATGGTGAGGGATAGAATGTATTGTGCCTTGAATTTCACAAAGTCTTTCATGTGCAACATGTCACTTGAGCTTCACAATAGATCTGAGAGGAAGGCATTGTTACCCCATCGCACAGACATGAGGATCAGACAGAATGATGGAAAGGCTTGTCCAGAGGACGGCCATTTCTGTCATTCCTCTGTAGCCTGTGTGATGGGAATGGGTATGTTCATCTTCAGAGGTGACATTTTTGAGCAGCCTGGGCAGTTACATCTGTTGTACAGGTAAGGACTCTGTTGTCAAGAGGAGGCCGGGTGTGTGGAATGCCCCTGTCTGCTTTCTATGAGGCCCACAGGACCTCACTCCACACCTTACCTTTTCCTCAGGGGGTAAAACTGACCCCATAGAGCTCACCCAAACATTAGATGCAGTGGTAACATACCTGGAGGATAGTAGGTGTCCAATAATTGTTCATTTTCTTACTCTTTAAAGAAAAACCTATTTTATATAGGTGTTTAATTTATAAAATAAACCACATTTCCATGGGAAGGAGTAGCGTGTTCCGCTCAGTGGTCATCGCGTCTGTCACGTTAGAGAACAGTTTGTGTGCAGCACAGAAGTGCTGCCTTCTTGCATCGCCGAGCAAGCCCAAGAAGCGCTTGACGTCTCTTTTTTGATCTGGCTCTTGGTTAACGATGTGGAAATGTGGGTGAACGTGTGCCATCGCTCAGCGTTAGCTTCTTTTGTGGAAGGTTTTTAAAAAGCTACCAAGTTCATAGCTGCAATTGAAAGGAAAAACCCAGGCAGGCGAGTCCTTGCTTACCTTCAGCTCCTCGGTTTCTATGAAGCCGCTGTGGTCCGTGTCGTACTTTCTCCATGTCTGCGAGGGATTGTGGGCAAGAAGAACCAGCAGGTTACAACCAGCCCGCACTCCCCCTGCTCTGAGCAGCGGCCTGAGACAGGCCCGGGGACAGCAGGCTCCTACCTTCATGAACTCCTCGCAGGACTTCAGCTGCTGGCACCGGAACAGGAGCAGGAAGTTCTCCTCTGTGGGCAGCACGTGGGCCAGCTGCAAAGGATTGAAAAAGGGGTGAGGGACCAAAAGCCAGTCTGTGGCATTGGCTGCCGCTCAGCTTTCCTTGAACATGCTCATGGGGGGGCAGTTTCATTGCCTAGGAAGCGAGGAGCAGAACCACCTAGACTAGACATCTCTTCCTGATGCTTTGTTCCTAGAGTGCTGCCATTTCCCAACCTGGCTGCCCCAGCTGGACTGTTCTCTGGCCTGGGTGGCCGTGGCCACTCCACTTGCTGGATATCAGCCAGCCCAGCTGGGGCTGCACCCTTGCTCTGTTCTGCATCACCAGCTCCTTTCGGGCACACAACGCCTGTGGGCCATCATTGCATGTAGCAGGGAAGAGGCAGAGTGTGAATGTGGGGAAAGGGTGCCAGGAAGATGCACATCCCTGAGTCCGAGGGGGATGTTGAGCCAAGACAATTGCAAGGCTATGGAAAGAGGTGGAGAAGACAACTCCTGTCAGCCATGGACACAGGAGTAACGGACACACATCCGCTGCTTGAACACCAGGCTTGGGCTTATTTTATAATCTCCCTTTCTCAGCCCTATGACGTTTCTCCTTAGGTCTCATTTCATCACTTCAGCGCTCTTTTTTTATTGAAAAAAGGGGGGTGGGCTCCAGGTCCCATTCCAGGGTGAAAATGACCCATCTCCTGAGTGCAGGGAGGGGGGAGCAGGATTGATGGCCTCCTGGCAGCCCGAGTTCTATTCCTGGCTTGGTTGCTAATTAGCTGTGGTCCTGGCAACTCCCTGGGCCATGTTCACGCTCAGCACTGAAAGAAGGAGTTGAAACAGAACCCAGTGTCTTAAATGTAGTGGATGCAGGACTGTGCGAATCTGTTAGGATGGCTGCGCCATCCCTGGATGTCAGACTAGGAACCTGGGGTCCCGATTAACCTTAAGGTCGGGATACGGTCCAAAATTCTACCAAATTATTAAAACGATTCTCACACTTTTTTAAAAAATTTCATTCATTTAGGTCCACTAAAAATTTTTAAATTTAATATAAAAAGTATCATTTTACCTTATATCCAAATAAGTTCAGCTTCTTTCTGTCTGTATAAAATGTCCTCTAACTAACCTTGGTTTTAGATCTTTGAAATAATATCTCCAATTAGAACCATTCCTTTTATAGGGGGTTGAAACTAAGGGCTGGGCCAAACATCTGTAAGGATATTCAGTGTGGCTCAGCGAGAAAACATTTGCTTATTTATTCTGAACAAAGGTCCCAGCCAATGAGGAGTGGGTCCAGGAAATCTGAAGGCAAAACCCATCTCCTATACATTTAAGTCTAGTTGAACTTAACAGTTTGAATTTGACAAGTTATGTAAGAAACAGGGACAAGGCTTAGCATTCAGAAGAGGGTGGTATACTTCACAGTGAATCTTTTTTATTTTAAATAACAATAGCAAATGCATGTATTGAGTTTTGCAGTGTGCCAGGGTTTATCTGTTTGCGTGGCACATATTGTCACATTTGATGTTGATACTCAGGTGTCACCCCTTGTCACAGCCACAGGGACAGAAGCTCCAGGGACAGATGGGCTGCTTCTGCACAGCTTTTAGCTTGAGCCAGATTTGAAGTTGGACAGCCTGACTTTCTCGATTTTGAGTCCTTGGTCCCTTCCCATTGTCACCCTGAATTAAAACCTCTGATCAAAAACTTTTCCTAATCATTTTAAAAAATCTATCCAGAGTGTGGTTTTAAATCAGATTTCATTGTCCATCATTCCTCCAGGTTCTCAGGTGAAAAAGCAGTCTGCCAGAAAAATCACATCCACCGTGTCCATACTCCCGTGCTCACATCCCACCGTGCAAGGGACGGCTAGAAATGCCTGCTTCCTGGGAGGGCTGCTACAGTTCAGAGATTAAAATAGCTTTCAGATCTAGCTCTGCAGTGGATGCAGTGACCTGGACAAATGGACATAGAGAGTGGAGAGCAGGTGGGTTCCCGCTCCTGCCCAGGGGTCAGATGCAAGCCTGCAGATGCCTCACCCTGCCTAGGAAGGTACCTGCACTTCTGTGAGCACAGGAGAAGAGCCCCCAACATCTGCTAAGTCACTTATCCTCCCTGTAATTATTTTAATTGGCCTCTGCAATAGAGTCATTAGTCTCGGTCAGTGCAGAGCATTTTTGACTGCCATGGTATTTGTTAAATTTTGACTCTGTTAACAATCTCTTTAATACTGAACTGTGTGTGAGTTTTAAAATCTATTTAACATGTGAAATTGAAAACTTCAGAAGAAAGCACTCTTTTCACTATTCACAGGCATCCAGGTGTCAAAGGCACACTGTTGGAGGGTGTCGGTCACCTTCATCAGGACAGGACTTTGGAAATTAACCTCTGTCTCTCCTGATCTTTCCCACACCCATTTCAGTAAGAGCCAACCAGTCTGGCCTGTCCCCCCCAGGAGAGCAGACTGCTCCCTGAGTGTCATTTGGTTTCCTCAGATTAGGTTTTGGTGCATCACCTATTCAGTGGGCATGACATTTAGGCAAACCCCGCCTTTCCCTCTGAGCATCAGCGTCCTCTGATGACTCTATTGCAGAGGTGCGTGATGTGAATGGGCAGGTAAGCACTAACTCCGGATGACCTGGAGTTTCCTTCACAGCTGGCTGGAACATCTGTGTTTGTGCCCCCTGTTGTCAGATTTCTTAGCACGTGACACCTGTGTCAGGCTGGAAACCAGCAGGATGGACTTGGTTTAACACCACTTCCCTGTATGCCTGAGGGAACCTTGTTGGCGCAGGTGCACCCCACTCCCCCGACCCATTTTCCACCTGTGACCAGAGCTTTTAGTCTCTTTTCCCCAGTGATTTTCAGAACCTCTCCTTCCTCTCTGCACTCAACATATCCGCCCTGCACAGAACCGACATTCACAGGAAACACTGCAGTGTCTCCCCTGTCCCCAGTCCTCCCG